CGCTTAGCTGAATGTTTATAGACATTGTGAGTCTATCCAGGCCATTCTCTGAAATATTCTGAGACTCAACACATGGATAAAACAAAGCGTAAAAGAGATGAGATAGAAAAACCTAGCGAAGGACTATACTGTGATGATTCCGATGACGATTGGGATAGTGATACAGAGGACGTTGAACCCGAAAAGGTAGAATCACGTCTCGTAGTTCTTTGTACAACTTGCAATCAATCATTCATGATGTGAAACTGATTTGTTATAACAGAATGCCACGTTCAAAGCAACCATTCATGTCACAGGCACATCGTCAGTGATTCTCTTCTATGCATGTGATTTTTGTTTAGGATACTGATTGTAGATTGTAGTCGAAGAACATACCAAGCCTTTATAGACTATGCAGTCTGCGGGTCAGTAAAGATCATCATTTCCAGAACAAAGTGTGATGGGGAACACTGCTTCCACCGGTAGATCTGATCTGTCACGTCCAATCTAGAGCTCTATACTTCGCCCCTCTGAGGTCTACATACCAAGTATATTGCAAGGCACTTTCCAACCCGGCGGAGGAAAACGACCAATTACCACCACTCCCCCTTTGGCCTGTATGGGCTGAAGCTTACTGCACCCCTTATACCATCGTACCCGGCTTCAAGACTCCCTCTAGCCCAAAGAGTCTCTACCGCCTGGCCGATAGTAAGCAAATCCCAATATCATATATCTGACTTTACAAATAGATTTAAGTTGAATCTCTAATGCAAATCATGGTGGCAATTCCAAGTGTTGATCATTCCACAACTTAAGGCTATATGTCGACAGCAAATCAGCAATTCCATACATGTGCAAAATGTGATATCCGAACTCCAGAGCTCAGTTTTTGAACAGCATGAGGAATTGCGTGTGGACGCCTATAAATTTATGCGTAATACCTGGCATTTATATCAAAGCTCAGAGATCGTTCCTTTTCTCGCCAATATGTCTGAAGCAGAGGCTGCTCTGGTTTTCAATCACATACTTAAAAATCTTCCTGTTTCAAACTCTTTGCTTCAACCCGTTTAAGTTTCTGGAAGTGAAAATTGGGAACAACTACAATAGCTAGAGAAAAAGATCAAAAAGAAAGTTTGGCTCGACTAATCTCTTTGGCAGGAACTGTTGTGTAACCTTTTTTGTTGCGCATCTTTTCTATAGTGGGTTCCGCACTGTCATACCTGCTTTGATGTCTCTTGACCATTCACTGATTCCCTCAAGTGAATACACAGTATCAACTACAAAGCATCCTAAAGCGTATCTAAAAGTGTCCCCAAAATATCAAATGTGCGGAATTAGGACCAACAATTGTCAAACTTTTGGGTAAAATGTGGAATCAAATGTGACATTGGTCAAAGCTAAGTACTTGCTGTTTACCAGGGTAAACAGTGGCACACTTCACTTCAATATCTCCATTTTGGCTCCATCTCATCTACACATGCCTGTTGTTACAATGAACGGCTTTTGACCAATATCATCCATCTCATTTGAAAGATCGGACCATTGGGAAGAATGATGAAAAAAGATGAGATGACAGGTCAGAATCCACAGGTGATTTATTGAGTTCAAATGTTCAAATATTTCACTAGCGCTCAAGCTCTACTATCAGGACACCGTAGGATACAGTATACTTGATGCAACATACTATGATCCACGCCTGGAAAACAAGACCTGAATCTTAAAGCACCACAAACCTGTTCACCATGATATACTTTGATTGGGGTTCAGACTTCATGATAAACGTGGTAGGATATAGGAAAGTGAGTACCACAGGGTCCAAATTCCACACTCCCGGCGTGTTAGAGAAATGTTTTCCAAGATTGTGTTAAGATTGCTGCTTGTTTGGTGTCAGGCTCTGTGCGGTTTGCAGCTTTGGAATGCATAGCAAAAGTAATCATCATAGGTGACATGAACACAAGCTCAGTGTCAGCACTTAGACACACCTAAAGTTCATCTGTATCAAAACGTACCAAAATACATGAACACATTTCTCTTTCTTAATAGGTCCATCTTACCTGCAACTTTCTGATGTGAATGTGATGGAAGCACCATTGGCACAGAACTCAGTGTTACAATTTGAAAAATCATTTGTATAAGTCTCATTCAGCAATGAAAGTTTGTACCTTGGCTGGTATCAATTTGGCAGGTGTCTATATTTTTTGCAGAGAATTGATGGAGTCTTAAAATTGGCAGGGTGGCTACCAACCCACACATCCAACATATAACCTCGA